CCTGCAGCTGACAGGAGAACCTTCATTCCTGAGAAGAACCCCCATGCCTCATCCCATAGAGACACACTCACATAGGATATGCATTTTTCTGCATATTTTAAATATAATGAATATGTAAGAAATCGGAATTAGACAGTTTTGAGAGCTGCGCTCTAGAATGGCCAAATTTGGCTGCGAGAATTTGGGTGCAAATTTAAAGGATGAGGGTTCATAGTAGATGATCCCATAATTTAAATATGCATGAGACTCTGCATGGGGAGAGGCAAGGAAGAGAAGTCTTTGAAACACAGGCAGCTTGTTCGCCCATCCCAGCCCCAGGGAGTTGTAGGTCAACTCTTCTGGAGGGCAGAAAGTTCTCCGCCCTGACTTTAAAATATGGCATATTTGGATTTTGGAAATTGTTAATTACTTCTATTACAAGGCAGCTGGTGAGTTGCCTGAAAGATAGGAGATATGTTTTAAAAAGATAATTTTAACTCTCTTTCTTTCAACTTGTATCCCTCCAGATGTTTTGGCCTCCAACTCCCACCAGCCCTGACCAACATAGCAAATGACGACAAAAGACGTGTCTTTAGGTGAAGACATCCAGAGAGCTGCAGATTGGGAAGGGTTCGTCGCCATCTTTGCAACTGGGCGTCGGGTGCAAAGAGACATCTTGTGGAATAGGGAAGCCCAAATCTATGGCAAAGAGTTCATGTCCCAAGCCCCTGGGAACAGCAGAGACTGCCAGGCTTAAGGTCTGCAAGATCTGTTTTGTTTTTTTAAGAGAAACCTGAACTTCAGGTGCAACATTATCACTCAGGAGGAAGGGGAACAGTGGCATAGTCTTAGAATTAAGGAACAACTGTGCCTCTGAGCACATTTATTTATTTATTTATTTAAAGCTTTTATAGGCCGACCACTACAAGCATCTTGGGATGACTTACGAGAAGAAGAAAACCACACAAATATAAAACAAGGCACTGTATCCAACCTCAATAATAAAACCCAGGATAAAACCAATTAAACATTAAAATGATAGGAAAATAAAAAAGGGGTTTGCCTGACACCGAAAAGAATAAAGCGATGGTGCCAGGAAAACCTCCCTGGGAGCAAATTCCAGAGTCGGGGTGCCACCCCTGAAAAGGCCCTTCTTCGGGCAACATGCCCAGCCCAGCAGCTTGCTTTCAGTACCAGAACTGAACTCACGGTCCAGTCGCACCAGCCTCCACGCCTGGTTTCCTCAACATGCAACACTGCATGGATTTAGACAGAAAGAAGCCCTAAAATTGGCTGCAGCATGGGGAAAGGCATAGGGCTTTTTCTGTGTAACTGTGCATGGCATTACACTGTACCTTTTCTCCATCTCAGCCTTTGCAGGAAGGCAGTGGGCTTTTGTCCCTGCTATTGTTAAATTGGCAATCAGAAAACCCAGAAATCTACCTAAACATCCCAATAAATCTTCTGATCTCCTCTGGTTTGCAGCAGCTGTTTCCAGCTTGCTCTGGTCCCATCATGTATTGGGGTTTGCCCAAAATACTGGAAGGCGTCCCTGGGACCACAACGAACGAGATGGGAAGGATAGACAGATGGACAGGTGGGACTATATTTTTCTGGGAAGGGTCCCGTGGTCTCTCACTCTCCATTTACACAAATATCCTTCCTGGAAGAAAATCCTCCAAGTCTTTCCTCTTCATTTTCTGCTTAATCTCTGAGACCAGAAAGTCGGTCACTTCTTATGCAAGATGTTCACTGCGCTTCTTCATCTCCGGTTTTTCCAAATGTGCACCTGGTGGCGTCATCCAGCCACCAGGGACTGAAGGTGAGACACCATTGACTCGTATGGTCATTTTATTGGGCACCCAGAGTCGTCTTAACGCATGGGCCGGATGGGCACTTGCCCGTGGGCCCCATACTAATCTGTGTATGTTAACCCTTGGAAAATTGGAAAACTTCCAAAATTAACAGTAGTTGTAGTTGTATGGGCCCCAGTACCCTGCTTTGCCCGGGGCCCATAATGCTGTTCTCTGGTCGCTTTGGTCCCGCTTGCAATTTGGCGGGAAAGCCACCAGGTGTCGCTGTGTTCCTTAAAAATGGTAATAAAATCAAACTAAAGCAGAAAAAGTGTACATAGAACATGTGAAAGGAAAGGAAAGGTTTAGGAAGGGAAAAAATGGTCTAAAATTCCAGGCATGGCTATCTGGAAGGATAACGAGAGTTCTAGGAATTTCTTCTTTCGATATGCACAGAATTGCTTTTTCGTTTAGTTTGCAAAGGGCGGGCCTACGAATGATTGGGGTCAAGAGCCTTCACATTCATGTCTAGCATAGGTAAAAACCTCTGTTTATCAGATTACTCACAAAAGGAAAAAAGGCGAGACAAAAATGTAATATAATAATATCAAGTCACCTAATCTGAGAAACTTCGATCTAAACCACAGTCAGTTCCAGAAACTGGGATAAGAATTTGGACTTCCATGCAGCTTTGCAACATTCCTGCATTATCCTGTTTCAAGAAAATGAACAAAAAATCACTATACTTGCCTTACAGTTTTCTCTCTTTCCCATAAGATTCAAAGCCAGGATCATCCCATGAAACTGACTGGGGGAAGGTCTAGGACAGATCAAAAGAAGTACTTCCTCACACAGCTAGAATTCACTGCCACGGGGAGTGGTGATGGCCAGCAATTTGGGTGGTTTTAGAAAGGGATCGGACGGATTCATGTGGGAAGAGGCTCTCAGAGACACCCTCTGCTGAGGTAGGAGGAGGTCTTGCACCCGTCCTGCTTGAGGGATCTTGTGGGCAGCAGGTTTGCCACTGTGTGCATGGAGAGCTGAATAGATGGAACTCGGGTCTGATCCTGCATGGCTTTTCTTCTGTTCTTTTGTTCTTAAAGAAAGGCTCACTCATGTCCGCTCTCCTCAGGCACGAAGTTTACTTCAGTGAAACGTATTTTTCTTCCCTTCCACATCAAGGGGGCTGACAAAAACCACTGGAGGGGAGAAGAAAGAAAGAAAGAAAGAAAGAAAGAAAGAAAGAAAGAAAGAACAAAACATTTACACCCTAGATGGCTGCAAATGATGGAGGTTGAAATCCAACACACCTGGAAGGCACCAGACTGGGGAAGACTGGAAACACGGCAAGATGGAAGAAACAAAGGTAGTGACAGCTGCAGCCATGGAGTCGACATCGGACTGCTTTGCCCGCTAGATGTTTTGGACTAAAATTCCAACCAGCTCCAGGGAGCCTGGATAATGTTCAGGGATGACAGGCATTGCAGGTTCAGAAATGCTGGAACGTCAAAGGCTTCTCCAGCTAGTCTCTTGCACACATCTGGAATACTCAAAAACTAGCCCCCTATTTTCTGCCATTTTGGGTCACCGAAGAAGAGTATGGGCTCCCCAAAGTGCATTGAATGGCAAGTGTAGAATGTTCTGCCACAAGATTGCAACCATGACCAGCTGCAATGGCTTTATAAGGCGCTTGAGCCAGTTCTTGGCAAGGATATCAGCGGCTGCATGTGACATCTAGCGACAGAGGTCGTGTGCCTTCGTATGCGAGGCGCTGGGGGCAACTGAGCTGTTGCATTTTGAATGCTGGACTGCATGGAGCTTGGGACTGATCCAACATCGCCTTTCTTATATTCTTATGGTCTCAATATGGATTTTGACATCTTTGCTATGGCCAGCGCAACGACCTTCGCTTACTGCAAAATAAATCAGTGAAATAAGCACCTCCTGACAAGATCCGATTAGACTTTAAATTGCGTGCCACTTTTCCCCAAAGCAGCCCACAAAAATGAACAAAAACGGTAGACCCATGGGCTCTAAGGACCCTTCCTACTTCCGGCTCCCAATTGAATATGCAGCGGAAACAACACAAAGAGGCCGAATGCAACATCATAGATACTTGGAGAGAGAGCGACTCCTCATAACAAGCACAAACCCTCCCTCTCTTGCAACCCCGGTCTCTTTAGGCTTATTCTTAGTCACCTTTCTGTGCTGCAACTCATCGTTCCGTTCAATCCCTACAGGAATCCCTGTAATACCCGCATATGGCGGTATTCCCAAATCAAAGCATCCGGAAGTAATGACTGCATCCCTTCCCGGCCTCTTTGGGCGGAGCGAGCGAGTGAGAGGAGAAGGACGCGCTAGCGACCGCTGGCGCATGCGTAAGCCTTCGGCCTGAGGTGGGCCAGCGCGTGCGCGCCGGCGCTGAGCCCCGGGGAGGGGCGCGGCTTCGCCTAGTCGTCCGGCGCTGATTGGCCGCGCAGGAGAGGGGCGGGGACGGGAGGCGCGGCTCACGTAAGAGTCTCCGGGGAGGCGGAGAGGAGAGGCGTGTCCGCGCGGCGCCTTGTCAGTCGGCGCCGGGCAGCGGCAGCGGCAGGGGGCGGAGGCTGCGGCAAGAGCAGCGCCCACAGCGCCGGCGGTGGAGGAGCCGGAGCAGCCGCCGCCGCCGCCGCCGCCGCCTCCCGGTCTCCCCTCCGCCTGGCCTCCGCGGCGGGCGCCGCAGCCACCGCCACGCCGAGCCCGCGGCAGTGGAACCCCGCTCCGCCGCCGCGCAGGTAAGGCGCAAGGGGGCGAGCCGGGGCTGCAGCCTCGTCGCTGCTGGAGGTGGAGGTGGTGGCGGCAGGCAGGCAGGCGTGCGGGCCTCCTGCCCAGCCGCAGCATCAGCAAGCGGCAGAGCGCCCGGCCGCAGAGAGGCCCGAGGGGGCGAGGCGGGGAGCGTGCGGGGAGGCGGCCGAGGCTGGTAGAGCAGCCGGGTTGGGGGCGCACCACGCTGGTGGTCTGGGCGAGATCCTTCGCTGCAGATGGGGGGGGGATCGCGGTGGTGGGTGCCTCTCGCAGGCAGGCGAAGCAGATTCTCGCAGCGACGTCGGGGCACGGCTGAGAGAGGGATGCCCACCAGCGGGGACGGTGGATATGTAAGGTGGTTGCTTCTTCCAGGCCAGGTGCCCTGCAGGTGTGTTGGGCTACAGTTTGCAGCATCCGCCGGCCAAGGCACGCACATCTGGACGGCACCAGATGGGGAAGGCTGCTGGTGGAAAGTGGCATCTTCAGCCGATAGGGCTGCAGAGAAAAGGTCAGGGGGCTCGGTGGTCTGGGAAAGGGGTGGCTGGCGTGGGAAGTTACAAGGAAGTCGTATGTGTGAAGGGGTATTTGGGGAGGTACCTTCAGCAGAGCAGCTTAAAGGGACACTGATTTGGAGGGGTGCATGGCAAAATACGGGAGGGGGTAGTTAGAGGGGTAGCTCCTTGGCAGAGAGGATTAACAAGGTAGAGAAGGGTGGCTGGTTGGGTGTACGGGTGTTTCCCAGGGAGGGCGTAAGGGGAGGGAGTGCATTTGGGGCAGGTGGGGTGATGGCCTCCTGCAGAAAGCTTAAAGGGAAATTAGAACTCTGAGGTTAAAGAGAGTCATCAAAATAGTTAAAGGGTAACTGGGGGTGCTAATAATGGAGAATTTGGGGTTTTTTTAAGTGGGGAGGATTAAAAGAAAACTGAGATGTTAAGGGGTGTAAGATGAATGGAGCAAGATTTGCCTGGAGTCCTGCACTGGGACCGTCAAAGAGGCAAGGAGGGTCCCTTATGTGTGCTGGTGATCTTGGGTTGAGACTGGGTATTGAGGGGTGGGGTGCCTGAACCAGATGCAAGGTCGAAGCTGAGGTGTTAAAAAGAATATCTCAGTTATGAAGGGGAATGTTAAGGCACAACTGGAAAGACGGGTCAGGTAGATCATAAGGTGCTTTTGGGAGAAAGAAAAAAAGGACTTCTAACAATGCACAGAAAATGCCTTCAGGTTTGCTGCGGGCCTTTGGCTCTTCAAAGAAAATAGAAGAAAGCCAGAGTAGTTAGGCCCAAGCTATTAAAGACAGAAGATTGGAGCAAGAGACAACTTAACTTTCTGTGACCCTGTTCCACATCTTTTAGCTTCTCTTGCTGCTACGGTTGCTGCCTCATAAGGGCTAGAAAAATGGAGGACCTGGTTAAATCAAGGCAACAAACAGTTGTAGGGGTTGGATGGAGGGGCAGGGTGGCGGCCTGAGCAGCATTTGGGGACGGTGTGGCGGGAATAGTGAGGTCTGGAGCTTGACCAACAAGAAACAGAACTGTGCCGCTGCTGTTCTTGCCCTCCAGTTCTGAGGTAGGTCACAAATCCTAGAATGGCTTCGGCCAGCTCTTAGTGGTGGTTGCTCCATTCCGTGCTGGTCCTCCCCAGATGTGCTGGACTACAGCTGACATCATGGGGAGCAATGGCAGCTGTCACCAAACACATCTGGGCAGCACTAGGACTGGAAAGACTTCAGCAGAACCTCCTGACCTGAGCACTCAGAAAATGCATGCAAGAACGAAAGAAGCTGAAACAAGTTTCTTTCTTTGCCTCTGTACTGAAAGACTAGCATTGATCACATCTTTAGACATTGCTATAATTCCTTCAATTTCATATGCAGGTACATGTTGTCTGGCTCCCTTGGGTGGAAGCCAGTAGTACATGAAAATAAAACTTTTTCAGGCATGGTAATGTACCTTGGGCGTCCAGAAGGTCTGAGACATGATGGGAGTTGAGAAGGCTATTAGGACTTTGGGCTCTAATTGTTTCAAAATGTACATTTCTGACTTTCCTGTTGAGTTTTTGCTTGTTTAGTGACCTGGTTTGTACAGAAGACTACCCTGTGATTTATGGCTCTCCGTAAGAGCTGGTGTGCTGGACTGAGGCTCAGGAGATCTGGATCCTAATCCCCATTTGGCCATGAAGTTCACTGGATGACTTGGGGCTCTTTACTCACTCTCGGCCTAACCTCCCTCATGGAGTTGTTGTGTGGATAAAATGGAGCAATACACACCACTTTGGGTTCCTCACAAGAGGGGGGAAAAGTGGGATACAAAGGCAACATGATAATGATCATTTGACTTGGTTTTATATCCTATCCAGAATTGTTCAGGTAGATGAACAAACCACGGTTTGCTTTCTCAGTCTCTGGGTTTAGTTTATCCCTTTTGCTAGCTCCCTTCCGGTCAATCAGTCACAACATTGCACTGGCTCTTGGTTGGAGAAAAGCGCTTTGTGTGCTGAATGGGCATTTCTTACCCCTTGGAATGCTGTGAATTCATCTTGGAGGTTCCAGTTCTTTTGTCAATTAAAAGCATGATCTATTGGCAGTGGGGTTCTGCCCAAGATGGAGAACATGTGAGCTGGTTTTCTCAGGTCACTAAACAGTAGCAGAGTTGTTTGCCCCTATGTAGAGATGGGTGATCTTCAGGGTTCTCCAGAAACACGTGCTGGTCTGAGGATGGCGATCCAGGCTAATTTGTAAATAGGTTGCGTGATTGTCTCGTCGGGCTGTTGCTTGGTACTGCTGTTCTTCTGCCCCTTGCCACCACCCAGTTTTGCCTCTGGAAGTGCATACACAGGTGGAAGCGGCTTGAGGGACATGCTTAAAAGGAGGAGAGGCTCGGCAGCTTAGTCTAATGGGTGCCTGGAGTTTGCAGAAGCTTCCCCTGAGATACAGCAGTGGAAAAACAAGGCAAGGAAAGGTGCTTTCATTGGAGAAGGGAGGAGGAATTCTCCTTCTCTTGAATCGCAGGAAGATGCAAAGACTGTGACCTGTTCCAGGCTTGGCGGCGTTAAGGGAAGCAAGAGGCAACATCTAAAGTAGCCCCCCACCCAACTTTCTGCCTCTGGAAGATTTGGACACCAGCATTCCTGCCCATTAGCTTTCCAAGGAATCGCTTCACAGAAGCCGACTTTCTCTGAGCACAAGATTGAATGAAAGCTCAAATCTCAATATGTGTTTCTGAGTTCTCATTTGTAGGAAATTTTTCTTGGATTAAAGCATACCTTCCTGAATGTTTTGCCATCCTGTGGGGTTGGGGAGACCACCCAAGGTTGCATGGGCAACCAGAGTCACTTTGTCAGTTGACGGGGCAGAAGAAAACAACCCTGTGTGTTCAATGTGTGTATTGGCAGTATTCAGCTGTATTACTGCTAGATATGTCCTGTTTATTTTTGTTTATTTAAAATATTTATACCCTGTCCTACACACAGAACATCTCAGGACTACTTACAGAAATCAAAACAATCCATAATCAAAATAACTTTGATTTGTTTATGTTTATTTGATTTATATTACAAAAAACTCTAATCTGTTCCCATAGACTTATTCCTGATCTGTTTTGTGTGGTGCTCTCCCAAGATTCACCAGTAGTTTAATGTTTCCTAGTTTGTGTCTGTTTCCTCCCTCACATTTTGGTAGTTTCTGGTGTGCCTCTCCTCGGGGGAATGGGGGTTTAGTTTTCTAAGTAGAAACTTCCCAGACAAAGGGACTGTAGGCTTAAAAGCACAGAACCTGATTTGCTTGCAAAAGTTTCTGTCCTTGAAGCTGCAAGGACTAAGCCCGGAAAAGTTTTTGCTGCCAGATGGAGCATCTAGTGAGCTAGACAGAACTGCCTGGGACTTCAGCTTCCCCTGAACCCCCCGTGGTTCCAGAATGGACACATTTATCACACTGGGGAGGAACCACTAGGCAGAATCTCCCTTTCCATCAGCATCATCTTCCATATTCTCAGTTCCAGGGTGGATAAGAATATTTCTTTTAAAAAATCAGATTTTTAACATTGCTTTTTTAAATTTAAACTGGAATTTTGTAAAATTTAGATTTTCAAAAAAATGCTCTTTGAGGACAAATCTAAAGATCATTTTCTGTTGAAGATATGCTATTGTTCAAAAGTGATCAACATGAAATAAGGATTAGTTTTTAATTATGTGGCATGAAGTTGTAAATTCATGCAGCGTTTAAATTTTTAGTAAATGAGTTTCATTAATCCATTCACAATGTCATGCTCTTCCAGTGGTTTATGTAAGATTACTGGGCAATTTTTCTATCTAGAAGGTATTATCGCAGATGCTTGGTTTTACAGTTCTCAGACCTGTGGGTTTGTATTGACAGAGATCGCATGCCTCTTCTCTGCAGCAGGAACGTTATAAACATACAGAGTTGAGGGAAAGACTTTAATCCCGTTATCTGTATGTACACAGAATCAACCCGTTATCTCTTAAGTGCTTAGTTTCAAAAAAGTTCAGTGAATAGAACAAGACTGATGGGAGTGGAATAGATCTGTACAAGAAACTAAGTGTGAGGAGGGAGAGGTGAATCCTTTTGAGGAGAATACCCCAAGTCTTTGGATCTTTTTGTGTATAGCCTGGCTTATAGTATAGGGTTATCATATTATTCTTTCTCTGAAGGAGAAAACCGATAATGGCAGCAGGCCATACAAAGAAACTCAGTTTGGAAATATGTTAAAGAAGTTCTTCTACCTACAGGCAAGGTAAGCATGTGTGCAAATTATGTAGAAAACCATGATTTAAATCTAGTCTGACGGACTAGTGATTTAAATTGTGATTTAAATCACATCCACCTTGCTCAGTTCTGTGTAAGTTGGACTGACTTGCATAAAAATTCTGTTTCTGCTAGTCTTTGGAGCACTGTACCTTACACAAATGCAAACATTCAGGTCAGTTCTGTCCTTGCCTGCCTGTCTTTCTGAATTCAGCAATCTGGCCTCCCAGTTTCAAGCTTAAGGTTTACATCCATATGGACTAGAAACTTGGGCTTTTATTCCTTAACATTTGCTTGGGTGGTTGTCCTTCAGTGGAGGGGAATAGGGAATGGCCATAACTACTCTGCCTCAGCATGAGGCCAGTGTGAAGAAGAGGGAACAGTGAGACACGGCGTCTGAGCAAAGCAGCTGCACAAACAATGCTGGAGTAAAGTATTTTACTGCTGAAATATATGTGTGGAATAAATTACTGCTTTTTGGAAAGGTTGGTGTTGAGGCATATGGTTGTTATACAGTCTAAACCAGTCTGTGTGCTCATGAACAAGCGTGTGTAGAATTGTGTGTTTGAGGCGCTTGATAAATAGAGGCTGAATTGCTGATCGCCAGCGAACTGTTGGCATCTATCTCAGCCCATTGCAAATATGCACCCTGTTGGAAGCTTTGTTCTCATATGCCGCTCGAACACTGGGGAATATTTGAGAAGATCAGAACTTCTGGCCTGCCGCATCCAAATGCCTGTTTTCTCCTA